CCAGCAGGAGGTGCCACAGTGGTGAGTGCTTGACCTTGCTACAGGATGTCTCCCCTATAGGGAGGAGAACAGTCTCTCACACTAGAGAAATCTATCTCCCTGCTGCCTCCAGCATTGCAGCAGTTTGTCTCTCTCCCCCCATTCTCACCAGGAGAGAGATTTTAACAGGTTTCAGGCAGGCTTTGGACTCAGATGTCACTAATTGACCTGAAGTAACCCCTTCCCAGCTTATAGGAAAAAGGGCCTTTAGCATTTTAGGGTTAACATACCTGTTTTCCCAGACCCTCCTGCAGCTGTCTGGCCTGACTTTGTCACATAACATTTACTGATAAAAATCTATTTCTTCCAAGCCTATGTATATGTGTTGCAATACCTAAGCAGAACAGGAAAGTTAAGGACAGCTTTGATCAATACTGTGTGTCATAACAAGTAATCAGGATGTCAACGAACGTATTAACTAGCATTCTGCAGTTTTTTGTTTTTTAAATAGCAACAAACTTGTAGTCTGACTGTTCTAAACCATTCACCTAGCTTGGATATTTGCCTAAAACAATTATGCTTGGTCAAAGCACTTACTTTGAGAACACACTATACAGTACTTCTAGTATTCAGAATAGTTACATTATCATCTTACTAATGAAGTCCTCTGATGAAGGTTCTCTTGGGATATATGGGTTATGAGTAGAAAAAGATAACGAAACTAACATTGTAACAGTTTCATGACTCAAAACAAACTTTTCAAACCTGTCAGAGAATACTGTCCTCTTAACCGTTTGGTGGGCAGGATGGGGGTTCCTTGATGCTAAGGGATTTCCTATTAGTTGATATCAGGGAATCTTGACTCCTGACACCAAAGCATGAGTAGATAATGGTTATACACAGGGCTTAAATTTGGGTGGTTGTTTGGAGAAGAGCTCCAGTAAATATTTTCAACCCCCCTGGAGTTTTTATAGGGTGGGGGGGGAGCATGGGGTCTCTGAGAAATACTCTAAGAATTTAAGCCCTTCTTGTATATTTTCATCCCGTTTCCACATCTTCCACGGCAGCCTATCAGAATTATTCTGGTTAGTGAGGATAAAACCCTGAATCACAAATTCCTCAATGGACCCCTACATTTCCCTATGAGTGGCATGATTTTCAAGGGTGATGAACACCCAGCAGCTGGCATTAAAGCCAATGAGAGCTGTTGAAAGCTCAGCATTTCTAGGGGGGAAAAGTACCGGTAATCAGGGGGCAGATTCTCTTAGTTATACTGAAATATATCTGGAATAATGCCAGTGAACTCGTTGGAGTTATGCAACTCACACCAGTGTTCTAAGCCATTTATTTTAGATGTCCAAGTATGGACTTAGGAGCCTAAATTTAGCCATCCATTTTAAGTGCTGTATGAGGCAGCGCATTGGCTTGTTCCACTGTGGTTGTTGCTATGCAATGCTCTGTTTCACCATTTGTCACAGTAACTGCAGCATCTACTAGTTTATCCACCCAAGACTAAAAGCTCCTTCCTGAAGGAGGGGAAAAGCATACTAAAGAGATTCTCCAAGAGTTTCAGGTAGCTGGTGTTCCATTCTCTCGTTGGGGGTTGGAGCATTGCAGTGGGGCAAGGAAAAGGTTTTCAAGCCCCAGAGGCTAAGGAGTCTTGCGGAAATCTGACACCAACCTTACGCATCCTGGAGGTGGGCCTGCTCCTCTGTGCTGTTCTCTAGACTCCCCTCCCCACCAGTAGAATGGCAGTGGTGTTATTGCGTCCCTTTGCTAAACCTGAGCCCTAGGTTCCGATCCCACATCCAGTGCACATTTTGGAAAAGGGACGACGATGCCTTCCATGTGAATTTCTGCTCAGAGGGGAACACAATGTGTAAAGTGGCAGATCCTCACCTTCATCTCTTCCCTGGAACTTGCAATACCCAAGATGCAGTAGGTTCTTGTGGCAGAGCTTCTGCAGGCTCCTGGGAAGCTCACCATGTTTCTAAACTGATGCTCCTTACTTCTGTTGTTTTCAGGGCTTGTTCCAACCCTTGCTCTTCTGTGCATACTTTGCCATGGAGAGGGTTGGCTGGTACCAAGTAGTAGACCTAAAATTTATTTTAGGCTTTTGATTCTTAGGCTAGCCATTTGTCACTATAATTTGGAAATACAGGTGCTCTCTCTACTCCCTGGATTTTACATTAAAGCATTTTAGATATAAAATTGCAGACAATGAGATGCAAAGGCCTATAGAAAGTTTTGGAACCAGTCAAACCCTGCAGTCTGTATTTACTGCCACTGTTGACAATGGCATCTTTTCCTGACTAAAGGATATCAGGATTTGGCCCACCAGTAGTTTTACTGAGCTAGGGCTATGCTCAGAACCAAAACAAAGGTTTTGGATGATAGGAGGAGAGCTGGGGAAGATGTGGAGGGTGAGAGTAGCTCATTAAGGCTGTAAACATAAGCTTGTTTTCCCCCAAATATCCTTTATTGCTCAACAGATTTAAGCTGCATAAATGAGTAAAATGTTTTTTCTTATCCTCATTTCAAAATTAAAATTGTATATCTTTCACAACAAATTTTTTTTATGATTACAGTATTACTAGGCTTGGCAGAGTTTGGTTTTGTAAAAATTTTTTGACAACATTTATTTTTCAGCATTTTCTTATCTATTTAATTTTTCACAATTGTGAGAAACTATGGAGGTGGGATTTGGACAATAATTATTGTGACAGACCCAGACCAGTTGGGAACAGCAGAGTAGCAGAAGGGAGATATACTGGCTACTGGATAAGTAGTTTTCTGTTCCCTGAGTGACCAGAGCAGGGGCTGCTCCAGGCTAATAGACCACCTGACTCCAATTAACCTGCTAAGAGTCAGGTGAGGCAGTTAAGCACCTGACTCTAATTAAGGCCCCTCTGATGCTATAAAAGGGCTCACTCCAGTCAAGCCAGGGGGAGCCAGAGGAGAGGAAGTGTGTGTGAGGAACTGGGAGCAAGAGGTGTGCAAGAAGCTGAGAGTGAGTAGGCGTACTGCTGGAGGACTGAGAAGTGCAAGCGTTATCAGACATCAGGAGGAAGGTCCGGTGGTGAGGACAAAGAAGGTGTTGGGAGGAGGCCATGGGGAAGTAGCCCAGGGAGTTGTAGGTGTTGTGCAACTGTACCAGGAGGCACTCTAAACAGCTGCAGTCTACAGGGCCCTGGGCTGGAACCCGGAGTAGAGGGTGGGCCCGGGTTCCTCCCATACCTCCCAACTCCTGATCAAACACAGGAGGAATTGACCTGGACTATAGCTTATACCAGAGGGGAAGGTCTCTGGACTGTTTCCTGACCCACAGGGTGAATCTGTGAAGCTAGGAAATCCGCCAATAAGTGCAAGACCCACCAAGGTAGAGGAGGAACTTTGTCACATTATTTAATGAGTACATGTTGAGATTCAAAAAGCTGAAGCTATATAACTGTTAGAGCACAAATTGTCAACATCACACATCAGAATAAACAAAGTAAATATCCTTAAATCAAACTCTAGGTTTTCAAGCAGTATGTTTCTTACCTTGCGTATCTGTAAATTTTGATTCTTATTGCTGGAAATATTTTTTCATTGTACAGTGAAATTGACATTTATGATAAAAATCTAATACTTCCAAGCCTAAGTATTACTATTGGCTACTGTGGTACTTCACTCTACTGTTGCACTGTTTTTTATATTCTATATCTAAGCCTCTTTTCAAACACCTCCTAATGGCCCAACTGGAGAAGTTGTTACCAGCTTGCAAACTGCTCCCCCTCATGGTAAATCACCCATTTTGAAAACACCCACCCTACGGTATGGAAAGAAACAGGTGCAATTCAAGTTTCACTGAGCAATAGCAACTGAAAACCTCCTAGTAGGTATCTCCCTAGGGAATTTTTAATTAGCCAGATAATATTTCATTTCCTGCAATCTAGATAGCGCATTTAAAAAATTTCAACGCCATAAAATATATTGTGTGACAGCATGAACCTCTGCAGCGGGATCTGGAGGCACTAGACAGAAAGCAATTGGAAACTAGTGCAGTTATTAATGTAGTCAGTACCAACAGGGAAAAGAAGGTATTTTACCTGCAAAATCATTACAATGGGAAGGGACAGAAACATTGTCAAGCCCAATCCTGCAAACACTTGTTACAGGCCTTGTTACACTGGTGGCAGCATGTAGAGTTCACCTAGCTACATACAGCAGTGAAAAGCAGGCTGCGTCCACACTGCGGTGTGTAGCTACACACAGCAGTGAAAGGCTCTGGCAGGAAGGAGGCAGCGGGGAAAGGCTCCAGCAATTCCCTGAAGCAAGGAAAGGCTCTGCTGCTGGAGGGGAAAGGTTCCAGCAGCAAGATGCTACACTTCTAAAAATAGCAGTGCATATGTGAGAGGCACAGCTTGGGCAAGTAAAGAGCTGAGTAGGGTGTATATACAGCTGTAGAGAGCAGTGTAGGGGTCTGACTTGATGTCTTTACTTGCCAAAGCAGTGCCTCACTATCTACACAGCTATTTACACCTATGCTAGGGTGATGTGCAGTGTACATCAGCCACTGTAAGTGTAGACATAGCCAATGAGTAGGTTGTTTACTACTTAATCCCACTGACTTCAGTGGAACTTCTCACAACAGTAAGCACTATGTTCCCCAGATCTTGCAAAGACTTACACAGGTGCTTAACTATATGCACAGCACGTGGTCCTGTGGGATTGCTCACAGTGCATGAAGTTAAAACACCAGCATAAGTCTTTGCAGGATTGGGGCCCATGCTCATTGACTGGCATTAGCAAGATTGGGCTCTCATTTTGTAACTACATTGCAAACTATTTTCACTTGCAGTGGAAATTCACTGCATAGAACATTGAATAAATTCGGTGTACATGCTTTGTGTCTGTTTACAGATATAAATATGAGATTTTTTTTTACTCAAGGTTACCTTCAAACAACTTTCATTTTCTCACTACCTCCACCATCCTCAAAAGCCACCATGGACAAAGAAAGGGAGATTCTATTGTACCTGAATTTCATTGCCAGTTATCATTTCCCAAGACCCATAGTGGCCTTTCTCCTGACGGAAGAACTGGACGGCTTCTAAAAATGCCTGCGCGTCAAACGTGGTCTGCTTGAGAAAATCTAAAGAAAAAAGAAATAAAGTTAATTGACTGGTAAACGAGTGCTGAGTGTTTTTAAAGATCTTTTCTGATTTAATTTTATATATTTCTACTCAAGCTCTAATTTCTGAATGCTTTGGCACAATCTCCTTTCAGGCCTTGTCTAGACTAGAATTTAGAGGTGTGATGTTAGCTCTTGCATGCTAACACACTTAAAAAGTCTAGTCCTTAATTATTTAATTTACCCATTTCTTC